ACACACACACACACACACACACACACACACACACACCTCTCCCTACCCCACTCCTGGCAGGCACACACAGCATTCTGGGAAGAGGAGAGCACCGCAGTCCTGGGGTAAAGGGCAGGGAGGCCAGGAGCCCAGCCCCGCTTAATCCCTGTGCATCAATCATGCTTTAAAAAGAACCGTGGCTCATCCACAGGTGCGGGGGGTCTGGCGGCCGAAGGCCCCAGAGGTCAAGGAGGAGTAGGCCCAGGGACTTCCTCTGCTGTGAACTGGGCCCCAGGCATGGGGGCAGGGGGAGGCAGCAGCTGCTGGGGCGGCCACCCTGTCACAGGAGAGCTGAGGGGAAGCTTTTCCCTCTGCCCAGCCCGGTGCCAACAGCTCTCCTCGGGGGCTGTGAGCCCAGAGCAGCTACGGGCAGGTGGTCCGCACCAGGGGGCCGAGACCCTCCTCCCTCTGTAGAGGCTGAGCTCTGCAGTTGCAGCCAAGGTGGGTTGGGGACAGTCCTTACTCTGTCTTACACTGCGCAGTCACCGTGGATGCCCAAAGGGAAAGCCCTTCCAGGAAGTCAAAGGAGTAGATGCCCCCTGTGTTTGAGGCAGGGTAGCCTTCGCTCCTGGACACCTCTTAACAGACCCCTAGACCCCTGGGCTAGAGAGTCTCAGATGAGGTGATTGAGCCCACCCCCTGGTCATGAATGGAGAAACGGTGACAGATGCCCAAGGGGGCTAGGGCAGAGTTGAGCTGCTAGGGCCAGCCAGGTGCAGCCTCCTCATCTGCCCCTCCTTGGGGCTCAGGTCTGCGTCAGGTCCAGGCCCCTGCCCACCGGACGCCCACCTGAGGAGCCAAGAGACCCGTTGTAGCAGTGTAGCAGTGTAGCTCTATCACCAGACAGGCCCTCAGAGACCCAGCAGCGGCACCAAGACCCAGATGTGGGAAAGACATTGAAGCAAAATCCCCACTCTCCCCGCTGGCTTCTCCACCCTCACTGGCTGCTCCCTGATTCCTGTGCCACCTCCCGTTCCACTTGATCCAACCCGACGGGGTGCCATCAGAGGCCTCCCTGAGCCTCCGTGTCCCTCCTTGGCCAAGGCCTGGCTTGGGAGAAGTTGGTTGTGAGCAGATCCAGGTGCCAGTCTTGGTTTGGTCACCAGCCAGCTGATGACGTTGAGCAAGCAGCTTCCCCTCCTGGCCTCCACCTCCACGTCAGTAAAATGGGGTCACCACTGGGCTCTGGCCCCTTGGCCTGTTGGCAGGGTCCGAGCTGATGAGTCTGAAGAGTGTGGCCCAGGCCGGGTGCCCAGTGGGCTTAGTAAGCTTACAGTTGTGTGGATGTCAGGATGTATGGCTAGAAAATAAGTGAGCATTGCCGGGGGAGCATTTCTGCATCAGAGCTGCAGTGTGGAGGGCAGGTAGCAAGGCAAAGGAGACTAGAGGAAATTTTTAGGTGACTTGAGTTTCAGCAAAGCTACGGTACTAATACCTCACACTTATGTAAGACCAGGCAGCAGAAACACCTCTAATTTTGCAATCACTCTGGGGGATCACTGGATCCAGTTTACAGCCCGTACAGGCAGAGGGGGCAGACTCACAGCCAACAGGGTCCCCGGGGCTATCCGATGCGCTCGCATTAATGTCTACAGGTTGATCTTCGAAGCGTGGAGATGAAACGCCCCTCCATCTGGGGTCAGAGACAGCCCTAGGCATCACAGTGCTCAGCAGCCCAGAGACGAGAAGGTCTGGTCCAAGGTCACACAGCAAGGCCAGGCCAGGGCTGCAGGTGGAAGGGGCCCCACCAACTCAGCTAGGGGACCCAGCAAGGGATGATGGGTAGGCTGGGCCCAATGATGCCCCCTGCCGCTTTCTGTTACCCTGGGCAGCTCCTTTCCCTCTCAGGTCTCCGTCTCCCTACCTGCCCCACTGTTGAAAGAAGGTCTGTCCCACAAGCCTCTAGGGCAGCAGTCCTCAACCTGTGGTTCGCAACCCCTTTGGGGGTCGAACGACCCTTTCACAGGGGTCGCCCGATTCATCACAGTAGCAAAATGACAGTGATGAAGTAGCAATGAAAATAATTGTCCGGTTGGGGGTCCCTACCACATGAGGAACTGTATGAAAGGTCGGGGCATGAGGAAGGTGGAGAACCGCTGCTCTAGGGGGTGCTGGTGGGACCGCGTGGGGAGCAATGGCAGGCTCAGGGGGCTCACCATGCCCCTCTGCCCTGGCAGGTTGTCGTCCCGTGGCCATGACTCTGCCTCACAGCCCTGGAAGCGCGGGGGAGCCCCGGCCCCAGACCGTGGAGGTCTGCAAGGTGGAGCACCGCCTGGAGGAAGAGCAGTCGGAACAGCGGCAGCAGAGCCTGCACATGGGCTCCTCCCTGCAGAGGAGGACCTTCCGCAGCAGGTGGTGTGGGGTAGGGGTCCCAGCCCAGCCCTGCTCTGCCCCTGGGGCTCTGAACCTGCCCTCTGGAGGCCCCAGTCTGACGGGGGGTGGGGGGGGTGGGGGAGTGAGGGAGACATGGCCGTGTCCACTGGAAGCCCCAGTCTGAGGGGGGAGGCATGGCCCTGTCCTCTATTGGCCCCAGTCTGAGGGGGGGAGACATGACCGTGTCCACTGGAGGCCCCAGTCTGAGGGGTCATCACAGCCCTGGTTAGCACCCTGCGCTGGGGTGTCCGGATGCCGCCCGGCTTCTGGCGCCCAGAGACCCAGCAGCCCTACAGGTGCCGCTGGCTCACCCTCTTCTCCCGGGAGCAGTGAAGAAGAATATCAATTCAGCGCTGCAGACTACTCCCTTGCCGCAGCCCTGGCTCTGACAGCCACCTCAGAGATGTCTGGGTAAGTCAGGCGACCTTTCCAGAGAGCCCCGCCTCCCTGCTGGGCTCTCCAGAGTCACCTGCCCAAAGTGACATGCCGAGAATAAGGGGCTAGCAGATTCAGGCCCAGGGCTGAAGTAAAGCCCACCCTCGGGGCAGGCCCACGGGCAGTGGTGAGGGACCATATGCCCAAAGGGAACTGGTGGGGTCCCCCAATTTACTAAGTGGCCTCACGGTTGGGGAGGGGACCGGAAATCGGGAAGAAGGGCAAGGACTCAGGCCCAAGACCTCGGAAGATGCCAGCCACTGGCTTTGGGCAGGACCTTGGGCGAGGAGGCCTGTCTGGAGGAAGCAAGTCAAAGTGCCTTGGTCTTCTACCTGTAAAATGGGCACAGCGATGCCTGTGCACTTGGCTGTAAGGAAGCAGAACGGAAAAGGCTGGCGGAAGCTCTCTGCCAGCCGTTACCACGGCCAAGTGTTTGTGACGTAGGGCTCTTTCTGGGTGTTTGGGGGCCCAGAGAGCATTCAGAGCTGCTCATGTCCTTAAGAAGCGGGCATTACTAGAGCTGGGCACATGCCCCAGCCCCGAGGTCCTGCCCAGCCCCCTGTCGCCCACAGGGAGGCCTGGCTGAGGCGCCAAGCGTCCTCCGTGGAGCTGGAGGAGCGTGGGCAGAAGCGGGTGGGCTTCGACAACGGCTTGGAGAAGACGGAGATCGCCTTCCTGCAGACGTGCAGGCTGCTGCGCCGGAGACGGGACAGGAAGGCCCTGCAGCGGCGGGTGAGGGAGCGTGGCCCCCAGACCGGCTCCACGTCCCCACCTCTTCCCCACCCGCTTCTCAAGAGGCAGCCGGGCACGTCTAGGAGAGCCGGCCCAAGCCTGGGTTCCCTCAGCTGTAGAAGTAGCGGGGTTCGGACCAACTCTGTGCAGAGGTGGGGACTCAAGAAGGTTGAGTTTGTCAAGTCGCCCACCCTTACCCCCACCCAGGGCTCAAGACACAAAAGACCCTCTGGCTCTGTTGTTCCTAGCCACGTCAGGGAGCTGAGGACCCTCTCTGCACCCTTCCCCAGGGCTTTCACAGCACCCAGCGTGTGTTGAATGTTTGCCTGGTACTGACACTCTGAGAGCCTCACTGCCACTCCACAAGGGAGTGAGGGGGTGCCATCGCCACCCCCCATTTAACAGATAAAGAAACTGAGGCACAGCATTATCAGGCAACCTGCTCGGGTCCCACAGCAACTGGTTCCAATGGCCACACCCTGCCCACTGAGTCACTCTGCCACCCAGCTGGCGGCAAAAGGGAGCTCCTGAGCCCAGGTATCATCAGGTGGGCAAGGTGGCAGCATAGCTAGGGGAGAGGTGGTCCCTGACTCAGGGGAGTCACGGACCACCTGGTGTTCCAGACAGAGGAGAAGATCCGGGAGGCCAAGGAGCTGAGGGCACTGTGCTCAGGCCGGGGGCCCTGGTTCTGGATCCCCCTGCGCTCCCACGCCGTGTGGGAGCACACCACGGTCCTGCTCACTTGCACGGTCAAAGCTTCCCCGCCACCTCAGGTCACCTGGTAAGTGACAATGCAGGAGGGAGAGGTCCTTACCTGGACTCCACCACTGGGGTCACGTGCGCCTCCCTGCCAGGCCCTCCCCCCTCCACCCTAGCACTCCTCCCCAGGAGTGGGGGGCTGCAAACCCTCAGGAGCCTGCCCTCCCCCAAGCTCGGCCCACTCCCCACATAGAGCAGCAGCTGCTGGAAAGACTCTGGCCCGGTTATTCTTAGCCACCTCCCCGCTCCCGGGCCTGCAAGGCTGGGGAACTGGAGAGCCAGCGCTTGTAAAGGCTCAATTCTGGTGGCCCTAGAAGGCAGCTGCTCTGAACACGTCTCCGGGGTTGGAGGATGCCAGGAAGCAGGATGGGGGTGGGGGAGCAAGAGAAGAGGCAGGAGAGCCGGAGGCCTACAGAAAGAAGATGCTGAGGACTGGGGTACAAACTCTGCCTTCCCGATGTAGCCCAGTGTATGGGCTCAGCCCTGCCTCGGTTTCCTGCTCTGTGAAATGGGTTGAACCAGCTTGGCCTTGTTGGAGATTTAGAGCCGCGGACACTTGGATCCCTTGAAAAGGACGGGGAAGGGGGGAGATGCTCCCTGGGCATGCAACCAAGGCAGAACCTCAGGGGCAAGGCCCTGCGGGCAGAGGAGAGCCTCCTGAAATGGCATGGGCATGGGGGTAGGGGTGAGGTGGCACAGAAGGAGGCGTCCATTCATACAACTGATACCCCCAGGTCTAAAGCCCCTGGGCAGGCACCTTGGCAGGTGAGGTGGTGGAGGGGGGTGCTTGTGTGCCCTCAAACTCATTCTGACTCAAAGCAAGCATGTAGGCCAGAGCGGAGCTACCCCGTAGGCTTTCTGGGCTATTGTCTTCCTGGGAACAGGCCACCAGGTCTTCTACCAGGTTTTCTACCACGGGCTAAGCTGCCGGCATTTTAGTGACTAACCAAGCACTTAACCAACACTCTCCCCGGGCTCCTTGACAGGCCAGGAAGGGGTTTCTAAATAAATTCTTACCAAGCACACCCTCTGACTTAGGCCCTGTGCAGCGGGGCACAGGAACGATGCAGATTCAACCTCGCCCCAAGCAGCTCTCAGCCCAGAGAGGATGGATGCAGATTCAACCTCGCCCCAAGCAGCTCTCAGCCCAGAGAGGATGATATGCCGCTAACAGCCGAGACCAGGGAGTGAGCGCAGAGAGGAGGCAGTGGCTTTCAGCGTGGGCTGAAACGTCTGGGAAGAGAGGGTGACAGGTGAGCCCAGTCGTGAGGTCAAGAGGAGCCCCGCCCATGAAGGAGAAGCACTTCTCTTGGACCCACCGTACAGTGGGCTGGGAGGAGGCTCGGCAGCATTGTAGTTAGTTTGGAGTTTGGTTTTCCAACAACGGGCCAGGAGGCCTGGTGGTGCAGTGGGTTGTGTGGTGAGCTGCTAACACAGCTCTGCTCCTCTGAGGAACGAGGAGGCCCGCTGGTCTCGTGAAGATCCGTTCCAAGGGCACTTCTGCCCTGTCCTCTGGGGCCAGAGTGAGTCAAGATTGACTTGAGGCAGTGAGTGCTCCCACCACTTCCTCACTGGGGCTGGAGATAGAGATGGCGTGCTCCTGTTTCTCAAGGGCGATCATCAGGACCCAGAGAGGCAGCGCGGCTGGTCTGGGGACACACAGGAGGTGGCCGACCAGAGCCAGAGACGACAGGGCTGCCTAAGGAGCAGGGAGGCCAGGAGCAGGCCCAGAGCCACCCTTCACGGCCCCTCGGCGTCTGTTCAATGAAGGTGCCAGGGACCGCGCTCAGGGCCAGGACTCCGTGAGAGAGCTGCTCCTGGCACCTGGCCCAGGCTAAGTGAGGGTCAGCACCTCAGCTGTCCTGGCCTGAGCGCTGAAACCCAAGTCCAAAGCATTCCAAGGAGGCTGTGGGAGGGGCTCTTGTTTCCACCCTTGCCAACCAGGTTGCCACAACAGAGACCTAAGTGGCAGACAGTGGCAGACACCAAGGCCAGCCCTGCTCTGGTCAGAGGGACTCAGGGGGCCCTGGGTGTTCCTCCAGAGGTCCCACCTTGCAGCACACGCTGGGCACTTCCTGAATGTGTGGGCACTGAGAAGGTGAAACTCACAGTGTGCCCCAGCTGCTCAGACTGCAGCGGGGGAGCCCGAGGCCCACGCATGACCCTGAACTGAGGGGCTCCAATGAGAGAGGAGGCAACCTCCCTGAGGGGGCTGCACAGTGGATTCCTGACTCACAGCAACCCTACAGGACAGGGTGGAACTGCCCTGTGAGTCAGCTTCTGAGAATAACTCTGTGGGTTTCCTGTCTCTTCCTTGGCGCACCTGGTCATTTTGAACCGCCAACCTTGCGCACCACAGCCAAATGCATAGCCACTACTCTCCACCAGGGTTCCTAGTGGAGAGGACCGAGGAGGAGCTTATTCCTGCGGTGGGCGGGCTTCATGAAGGAGGAGGAGGAGCCCTCAGGGGTCTGGTCCAGGGCTCCAGGAAAGACAGGCAGGAGCGTGCTGGAACGGTGGATTAGGCTCAGATGGGGTGGTTCCCTGAGTGCCAAGCCAAGGGATTCTGGAGCTATGGACCCTCGTGTAGAATTCCAAGGCCCAATGCCCTTCCCTCCAGGGGCAGGGAGGAGGCGAGGCTGCTGCTGCATGCCCACTGGGCAAAACTGCTGAAGAAGGAGGGGTGAGAAACCCAGCGCCCTGGCTTCTGGCTCTCTAGCCAACATCGGGGCAAATTCAGCACGGACCAGCCTGGCCACAGAGTCCCTGGCTGACGCAACTATTTAACGTAGGTGCCAGGCTAACTGAAAGGTGGGAGGTTCAAAGAACCTTGAAGAAAGGCCTGGTGATCTGTTCCCAAACATCAGTCTCTGGAAACGCAGTGCTGCTCTGAGAAGTGACTGGACAGCGACCGCTGGGGGTGCCGACCGGGCCTGTCCACAGCACAGCTGTGGGTCCTGGGCATGAGTCTAACTCAGCGTTTCTCAACCTGGGGCTCGAGACCCCTTTGGGGGCTGAGCGACCCCTTCACAGGGGTTGTCTGATTCATAGCAGTAGCAAAATGACAGTGACGAAGTAGCAATGAAAAGAATATGATGGTTGGGGGGTCACCACCACAGGAGGAACTGTATGAAAGGGTCCCCGCATGAGGAGGGTTGAGAACCCCTGCTCTAACTGCTGCCAGTTAGGTGGCTCTCTCAGGCCCAGCGTCCTTCAAAACACCAAGAAATGTGACAAGGGGTGAGCGGGGAGGTGTTTAGGAGACTTCTCTGAGTCAGACACTGGGCTGGGCTCACCTGGGTTGTTGCGGTTTACCTTTATCACTCCCGGTTGCCACGTACCGCCAGTCACCCACGCAGCGGGCGTCTCCACAGGCCTGTCTGGAGCCCAGAGAAAGGGCAGGATTGCACTGAGCTAGCTGCCCCGTCACGTCCACAGCTGCTGCTGTTGTTTTTTCTATGAAGGGCAGAGGCTGGCCAAGCTCAAGGATCTGGAATGTTCCTAGCAGTTGTGGGTTGGGGAGGAGCTGGAGAGCTTGGCCATGGGTGGGGGGCACCAGCCCCCTGAGAAATGCAGTTGAGCTCCTTTTCAAAGAGGCTGCAGCCTGAGAGCTGGGGGGTGGATGGGCGTGGCTGTCTGGTTGCCCTGGAGACAAGCAAGGGGTGGGGCAAGCCAGGTCTAAGGACTGAGGCTGGAGCGCCCTCTGTAGGCCTAGGCCTCCTCTCCACCCTCGTGCACACCTGGGGCAGAGAGAGACCCATTTCCTCCCAGGGCTCCCATTCACGTCCTCCTGCTGGAGAGCGCAGAGGCCCGGGGAGGGGAACAACTCACCAGGTTGCACAGCACATAACCCAGGCCGTCTGCCTCCGTGGCCCTCCGCAGCTCCCACCCCACCTACTGGGCTGGGGACAAGGACAGGACCACCTCACTGCCCAGTCTGCTCAGGAGGGAGGAGACTCCGTTTGTCGAAATCAAAGGGCGTGACCAGGGCCCCCTCTTGAGAAGCACCTGGTAGAGGTTCCTTAAATTTGGATCCCTGGGACCCACCCCAAAGCTGTGACTGAATCTCCCTGGGAGGCAGCAGGACTGGACAGTTGAAGAGACTCCTCAGTGATTCGCATGGAGCTGAGATGGGGAGCTGCTGTCCTGAGGGGTCAGCAAGGAAGGGGGGCGGCGATTGGAAGGCATTCTCTGGCACTACCCCACAACAAGAAGGGAAAAGCTGGGGCTTGCTGTCTAGAGGACCCCAGGGATCACCCTGTGTGGGGTGGGTGGGGGGTACTCGAATGATGAACCCCCCTTCTCTGTCCTCTTCAACATCCACAGAGTGCAGAGCACTGGGGGGCGGCGTCTGTACCCCATCTGTGGGCCGGGGCCACTACCACTCCCATTTTACAGATGAGGAAAACGGAGGTTCAGAGCCGTGAGCGTGCTGCCCTGGCCCTCATAGGCTAGTGAGCAGCACAAAGGGGAGGTTAGAACCCAGGTCTCAGAAGAACCTCCATCCTTCCCGCTCAGAACCGCCTCACCTGCCTCAGACCTCTGTCCCCACAGGTACAAAGATGACATGCACATTGACCCACGCCTCTTTCCCGCCGGGAAGTACCGAATCAAGAACAACTACGGGCTGCTGACCCTGGAGATTAGGAGGTGAGAAATAGGGACTCCGAGGTTCCCACTGAGTGAGGCGTATGGAGGGAGGGTCTGGTGGGGGAGAGAACGCATGAGCGTGTGGACACACAGACAAGCGTGTGCACAGAGACACAGGTGTGGGCAGACACATGTGTGCACACAGATACACACATGTGTGTGCATGCAAGGAGAAGCAGAGGGAGAGGAGTTCACTGAGGAGACAAAAACCCAGGCCCATTCTTGAGTCAATCCGAACTCATGATGACCTCATGGGTGACGGAGTAGAGACCTGTAGGGTTTTCTTTGCTGAATCTTTCTGTGAGCAGATCGCCAGGCCTTCCTTCCGTGGTACTGCTAGTGGGTTTAACCACCAAGGAGTCACGTGCAAACCATTTGCACCACCCCGGGACTTCGCTGGGGGAGGCTATGTGAACAACAGTTGTTGCTGGGTGGCCGTGAGTCCTGGCGGCGATGTGCGTCAGAGTGGAACTGGGTTCTCAATGGCTGGTTGCTCCAAAGCCAGTCACCAGGCCTCCTTCCGAGGTGTCCCTGGGAGAACTCCCGCTTCTAACCTACAGTGAGCCGCTAAGCCCCTCCGCTGTTTGCACCACCCGAAGCCTTGCAGGGTGGGGAGACAGGTCCTTCAGGGGAGGGTGCATCTTCACCACGGTTTTATAGGGTGCGTAGAGAGAGGTCAGACGAGAATATGAAAGTGTAACACTCCTGAAAGTGTGTGTGATGAACATAAACTGCCATGTGCTAACTTCCTACCAGGTGCCAAGCCCTGTGCTAGGTGCCTTATGGGTACTCTCAATAATCCTTACCACTGACTGTACTTCCAGGGAAGTAGAGGTATGCCCTTGCTACAGGTGAAGAAACGGAGACTCTGCATTAGGGGACTCACAGAGCGAGGAAGCTAGTACAGGGCAGGGCCTGGGTGGGTCTGAGCCCTAGACACACAGTCAGGGTCCTTTTTAAGGCACCAAACCCTCAGTCTCAGCCACTTTGCCTTCAGAGATATAAAGATGGGTAGGACATCGACCCTACCCTTCTGAAATAAGACAGGGTGCGTGGACATGCACACCTGACTGTACCAGGGCAACGCCCCATTCGCTCTGTGGCCAGGAACACCTCAAGAACAAGGGGGGCTGGCCCCGAACCACGAGTGATGCACCGATGTTCTTAACAGCATTATCTGGTTATCTGGTTGATCCACCATCAAAAGGAATGAAGTTCGGATCCATATGACCCCAGAGATGAACTTTGAATACATTATGCTCAGTGAAGCTAAAAACAAAAACAAAAGCAAAACTCACTACCATCGAGTCCATGCCAACTTATAGCGACCCACCAGGTGAGGGTGAAAGTGCTTCTATGAGATCATGGGAGCCCCTCCCGCCCTCCTGGGGAGTGATTGGCAGTTCCGAGCCACAGGCTCACAGTGAGCAGCCCAATGCATAACCACTGCCAGGGAAGTAAGTCTGACAGGAAGTGGCGAAAGGGGTCCGTTCTCAGGTCCAGGAAGGAGGTCAGTGGGGGGACGGGAGAGTGGGGAGTCCCTGCTCACCGGCTGCAGCTTCTGTCGGACACACTTCGGACACAGATGGCGGTGATGCGTGAAAGCGATTCGTTCACGTGCATGCGCACTTGTAAAGGTGACGCCGATCCCTCGTAGTGTGTACTCGACATGAGGGATCACAGAGCCAGCAGACGAACAAAGCAAGAGCTGCCCCCCCCCCAGGGGCACCCTGCCCACAAGCTGCTCTCATCGTCACCCGGGGTAGAGTTTCCTTTTCTGCCATCCCATAGGCCCCTGGCACCCTGGGGATGGAGCCAGCCCCACCTCGACCCGGCTGGCAGTGAGACCCAGGCCTGACAGCAAGGACCCCTGGGCAGCTGGCCCAGTTCTGCCACAGCCTGGCAGTGTACCTTGGGCACGTCCCCGCCCTTGCACTGCTGAGAGAGCAGGAGGATTCCGATTTGGAAGGGTGGAGGGACAGGGGACAGGGACTGTGCCTGGAAGCAGGCTCATCGCCTCGAAACAGACTAGAATTCTGTTGCTGTGGGACTCTAGGCAAAGCACTTGACCTCTCTGATCCTGCAAGAGTCAGCAAGCGAAATGCATGGTGGGGCATCACGTTGTCAGCCTGAAGAGGTTTGAGCTGGTGTTGTGTCCCAGGTCTTCAGAGGAGGGAGCAGAGGGCAGAGAGAGGGCAGTCCAAAGTCCCCCAGCTCTTCAGGGGTGGGCCTGAGCCAGAGCCCAAAGCCTCCCATGCCCACCGTTAGGCTTTGCTATCAGCCCCAGTCTTTCCCACCCCCAGATGGGGACTCGAGTTTGCCACAGCACCAGCAATCTTGGGGGAACCCCCACCCCCGCCTCTCTCTCTCTCTCCTGATCAGATGCACCGTAGAGGACTCAGCCACGTACACCGTGACGGTGAAGAATGCCTACGGCCAAGCCTCCTCCTACGCCAAAGTCCTCGTCCGCAGTGAGTCCTTCTGCCCCTGCCAGCCCAGGCCAGGCCAGTCACAGCACACCCAGGGCGGTCAGCGGTCAGGCTGCAGGAAGGGCCCTTGGCCTCAAGGGGTGGTTGGCCTGAGGTTAGGTGACCAGAGCAGCCATGGAGACTCATTTCCCCAGGGGCCTTTGGAGTAGGTGGGGTGAGAGCCTCCTCCCTCAGACTGGCATGGCCACCAGCTTTGTGGTCCAACACGGAAGGAGGCCTGGTGGCGGCAGGATCACCTGGCCCTGTGGGTGGGTATCCAGAGGAGAGGGAAAGGGGGACGGATGTTTTCTGCCATTTATATATCTTATTTCATCATGAGCTAGCAGGGGTAAGGGTGTGACTCGCACTCAGCTCAGTGTGTAGGTCCGTCACAAGCATAGGCGGCCGCCGTGGGTGGACGGATGGATTGGAAAAAGGGTCCTCCTCTCCCGGCAGATGTAGGCTCTGTGACAGGGTGCACAGCTTGGCAAACAGACCAGATGCCAGTTCCCACTTACGCTCATGAGGTGCAGTGTGCAGTTCACACCACTGTGCAAGGCAACCCTCCCTGCCTGCCCCCTGCACATACCATCAGGTGGAAGGCTCCGGGCCCCTGGAGGGGTCTTCAGCGACAAAGATGGGACCTACCAACTCCCCACCCCATCCCCACTGCCTCATTTATACTATCTGCTCCATTGCCTTGTGGGTGTCTAGAATCACTGTGCCAAGTGGGGAGCAGCTCTGGCGTCAGAGAGATGCCAGTCGGTGAGATGATGCAGATAAGGCAGAGTGTGGTAGGCTCTAAGGAAAGACTGACCCCTCCCTTCTGGACAGCCGGGGTGGAGCACTTCCCGGGAGGTCACACTCCAGACACTGCACCTGGGAAAGGACAGACCCTACTCCCAGGCAGAGAGGAGAAGCCCTAGGGTGTGAGCAGGCATGCGCATACTCACGCACACATACACACACTGGCTCCCCAAGCAGCTGTCCTGGGCAGGTGTCCTGGGTCCTGCCTCACCCTCCCTGTCTCTCATTAGACTTGTTAAACTGTCCTTCACAGTCCACTCCCTTGCCCTGTGCCCCAAATAACTTGGGAGGCAGTCTGGCCAGGACAGATTCTCAGTGTGGAAATGTGAGCTGCTCCATAGGCTGGGCCCACAGCCAAACCCAAGATCAAGCATGGGCCCTGCTTCCTTCTTTCTAGCCACCCTTCCCATCGCTCTAGCCAGATGCCCACCCCTCCTGCCATCAACGCTGAAACCCCACGACCTACCAGGCATCTTCTTGGCCGCTGGGCTCCAGCCAGCTTCTTGTTGAGAGCACCCAGCCCCTGCCCCTGCCACCCACCCCTGCTCTCATGTCCATAGTAACTTTAGTGGTCCCAGTGGAAGGCCCTGGGGTGCAGCGAGGTCAGAGCCCTGCATCCTCATCCTGAGTCCTCCACGGATGTTCTGTGTGACCTTGGGCAGACGCTGTCCCTCTCTGGACCTCACTCAGGAGGGTTCTTTCCATAGAGCCACGCTGTTGGGGTGTTAGCTGGTGGCCGGGCCTCAGTTTCCTCCTCTGCAGTGAGGAGAACAAAGTGCTGGCAGAACTGGGGTGAGGATCCCATGGGTGACCAGGAAGCACAGGGCCAGCACCCCTTGAGTAGTCACTGACCTTGCCATCCCTGCGGCTCTGGGTCCGTGTTGCCTGGGATTTTCCCTGCAGGCCTCCAGCCATTCACTGAGCACTGCACACCCCACCAGAAACCCAGGCCGCTCCAGGCTGAGCTTCTGGGTTGATAGCAAGTTTGAACAAAGGAAGGAAAACCGCCACCATTTACTGAGCGCCTACTGTGCACTCGGCACCTGGTGCCGACTTCCTTCCTGTGGACCCATGTCATCCTACCCCACCACTGAGGCAGGACCTGAGGCCCCAAGGCGGGGAGGAACGTGCCCAAAGCCGCAACGTGAAGCTCCAATAGGCCAGGACTCAACCCCTCCCGCCCCAAGCCTGCGCCTCCAAAATCCATCGGCCTGGGAACCTTCTCCAACTCCATGTGCTTTGAATTTTCAGCGTACCTGGGGAAGGAGGCCGGCTTTGATTCAGAGATCTATAAACGTAAGAGACTTGCTCACCCGAGCGGGGTGGTAGAGGGGAGGGGGAACAGGAGAGGGGCTTCTGGGGCTCCTTGTTCACGCCTCCACTGACCATTTTAGAAGACAGCCATCTATAGCTCACCGGTGCCCATCTAAGGTTGGCCTGTGTGCTGGCCGGATTAAGCAAACTGCCTTCTGAGGGTCCCAGGACACCTACAGCTGCTCCCTGGCTGCTGAGCAAATTGAGTCGGAAAGGCCAACCCATGGCCCCAGTGGCCTTTGGGAGTCTCCCCTGGGACCAGGTTCCTCTCCTCCCTGCCAAGTCCATCCTCGGTGACCTAGAGGAATTGGGGTGACCCAGGCCTGATGTCCTCCAAAGACTTCTGCTCCCAATTCCTGCCATGTCATCCTCCCAGGATCAATGTTTGGCCCCACCATGGAGTTCACGTCGGTGCTGAAGCCTGTCTTTGCCCGAGAGAAGGACCCCTTCACCCTCTCCTGCTCCTTTTCCAGTGATGTGGAAGATGCTGAGCTCATCCAGTGGTTCCAAGGCGGTGAGGACCCCCCCCACCTACCACCCCCAGCCCCTTAGCCAACTCAGAGTCAGAGAGGGCCTGGAGCCCTGACCTCCACCCATAGCCCTAGAACCCCTGGTGGAGGGAGAGGCCCGGGTGTGACCCTGGACCTGAAGACAAATGGGTCGCGGGTGTGATGAGGCAGGAGCACAGCTGGATGGGGGTCAGAGCAAGTCACCCTTCAAGTGGCCACCCAACAGTATGGTGGTGCGGTAGGGTAGGGAGACACAGCCCAGCCCTCCAGAGCAGGGGTCCTCAAACTTTTTAAACAGAGGGCCAGTTCACTGTCCCTCAGACCCGTTGGAGGGCCAGACTATAGGTTAAAAAAAACTATGAACAAATTCCTATGCACACTGCATATATCTTATTTTGAAGTGAAAAACAAAATGGGGCAAAAACACCCGGCGGGCTGGATAAATGTCCTTGGTGGGCCACATGTGGCCCGTGAGCCGTAGTTTGAGGACCCCTGCTCCAGAGGGTCTCCACCCAGGAAGAGAGAAGAGCTGGGGTGGAGCTGCTGCGTATGGGGTTGGCCCTGCTCGGCCCTCCTCCTGCGTCTTCTGTGGGATACTCCCTCAGACCTACACGGGAGTTCTTGGAAACAAGAACTCAGAGGAAAAAGCAGGGTGCACAGGGCAGGCTGTGCCAGGCCCCCGGGGCCTTTCAGAGCCCAGCTGGAGGTGGGAGGGGCATCAGTTCCGGGCCTGGGAGACCCCTGGGGATACAACAAGTGAGGCCTGGGGAGGCCCATCAGCTGATGCAGGAAGAGGTGGCTCAGTGAGCAGAGGAGAGTGGCTGGACGTCCGTGACCAGGTCTGCAGCCAAAGGACAGGGAGGACAGCCCAGTGCCGAGCCCGAGGGGGCTGCACCTGCTGCCAGGAGGAGCCGGGAGCCAGCGGAGCCCTGAGAAACAGCTGCAATGCCAAGACTGATGTTTCCCGAAAGCTGTAGATCTTCCAGAATAGGGGGTGCTGACAGGAGGCCCAACAGGGTGACCTCAGGGCACAACCGCTCCCTGTGCCCCTGAGAACCTTTCTCTGCTCAGTCCCACCACGTCGCTCAGCCCTCACGCCCTTCATTAAATCCCACCCCAACCCCTTGCCAAGCTCTACCCCTCCATGAGCCCCACCCCCTCACTGGGACCCCATCGCTCACTGAGCACCCACCCCTCCTAATGTCCACTGTCTCATTAAGCAAAGCCCTTTAGGTCACCACCCCAACCCGAACCCCACGCTTAGTGGGTCCTCCAGCTGTAGCCTTGCCACCCCAACCACCTGCCTAGCCAGGCCCCCAGAAGCCACGCGAGGGGAACCCCCTTCCCTCCGCAGGGAGCCTGCTGAGGTCCTTGGGGCGCCGGCAGATCCTCAACTCACACCGCCAGACGACGGTGAAGGTGTCTTGCGCCTACAAGGAGGACGAGGGGCTCTACACGATCCGAGTCCCCTCGCCCTTTGGGGCCCGGGAGCAGAGCACCTATGTGTTCATCAGAGGTGAGACTGGGGAGGGCAGGGGCGGCCGGCTCTGCCCTAGACTGGCAGCTGTGTGGCCGGGCCTCCACTCTGGTTCCCCGCTCTACCGGCTGCCGGCTTAGATCCTCGCTGACAACCCCTGTGGCCCCTATGTCCGCCCAAAATGCAGAGCCAAGAACCTCGGGCGTGGGGTCTGGGAAGCAGGCTGAGCCTGTGTGTGGAGCAGGATTCTGGTCCCTGGCGGAGGTCTGCCTCCTGGCCTTTGAACCTGATCTGGGTCCAAGCCCTGGCTTTGTCACTTCCCTTGCTGGCTGACTTTGGGCAAGTCATGTCACCTCTCGAGGACTCGATTTCCTCGTCGACAAAAAGGGGTGCTGCTCTGGGGCCCGAAGACTAATGATGCTGGTTGTGTAGCTGCATGGAGTTGGGGGTCCCTAATAAATGGTACCCCCCCATTGCTATTTAGGGGCAGGGGGCCGTTCCTCAGGTCCTCCTCTAGAGAGGGGAGAGCTGTGGGAGAGGGGCTTGTTGCTGAGGGAACATTGAGTGACAGTCTCTCCCTCCCCTGCTTTCAGATGCAGTGGCTGAGAAGCCAGGGGCCCCAGGCTCCCCACTCAACGTCCAATGCCGGAATGTGAACCGAGACTGCCTCATCCTGACCTGGACCCCGCCTAGCGACACTCGGGGCAGCCCCATCACTGGCTACACCATCGAGCGGTGCGTGGGTCTCCTGAAGGGCAGAGTCCCCAGGCACAGGAAACAGGAAGCTACCCTCCCTGACCTGGGAGAGCCCCCCACCCGCCCCAGCTGCTTGGGAGAGAGCAGGGGTAGCCTGGGTTTTATAGTGTGGGGACAACAGAAGGACATCCACACCCCCAGCCCTGTCACACTGCCACCCTGTCTACTGCTGATACACACACACACACACACACACACACCAGCCTCTGGGTGCCTTGGCAGTAGGAGTTGACCCTGGGCAGGGGGAAATATGAGTAAGTGCTTGCAACCCGAGCCCTGGGCTCTTTTCCTCCCTGAAGGGCAGTGGCAGGCTTGACCCCAGAGTGGGGAGGCCCCTGGGAAGGGAGGAAGGACCAGGGGAGCGAGAGAACATCCCTGTCTCCTTCCCCTGCTCCCAGCTCAGTGGGGCGCCCCGCTGTCCTGACACTCCGGGCACGCTGCACCTCTCTTAGCTCCCACCACCCCCCCATCAAAGGGAGGCCTCTTCCACACCCCATTCTCACTCACTGCCGACTCACAGTGGCCCTGTGGGACAGGGGGAACTGCCCCCGGGAGTTCCCAGATTCTAGCTGGTTACGGGAAGAGAAAGCCTAGTCTTTTTCCCGAGGAGCAGCAGGTGGGTTAGAACTGCTGACCTTGTGGTTCACAGCCCAACGCACAGCCACGCTACCACCGGGGCTCCTCAGCCTCCTTCTGCAGATGAGAAAACTGAGATTCGTGGGGAGATGACTCCACCCAAGGGCGGCTGGCCCATTCGCAGCATAGCCAGAACTTGGGCCACGTGTGCTCACGGCACCAGCCAGCGGGCTGCATGCTGTCATGCTGCTGAGAGGGTCCATCTAGATGTGCACCCGCTTAGACGTGCACAGGTGAACTCCTGACTCGGCCACTCACACGCCATGTGACCTTGGGCAAGTCCCTTCTCTGTGCCGCAGACTCCCCTTTGCAGAGGGCACACAGTCACAGCCCACTCCTGGGGCAGAAGGGCACCGCTCAGCTCCACGCCCATGACAAAGGTCCAGAGAAGAAGACCCCAACCAACCCCACTGCCCAGAGTCAGGTCCAACTCCTGGCCTCCCCACATGGGGTTTTCCAGACTGGAAATCATTATGGGCATACACAGCCTCGTTGTTCTTCTGCGGAGCAGCTGGTGGGTTTGAACAACCAACCTTGTGGGTTAGCAGCCCAACAGCTAACCTATAGCACCACCAGGGCTCCTTCCAGAAAAGGAAGAAGCAGCTGTTTCCATTAGGATCATGGTCATGAGAGACAAGGGGGGCTCCTGGGGCCCTGAGGTTGGAGCCAAGCGCTATAATTGGAGAGAAGAATTATACTGGGGGGTGGGTTGGGGGAGATGTGGGGAGGCGGGATAGGTGGCAACTGGGGTGTTGGGGAAAATACGCCTTGCCAAGGCACAAAGTGGAAGGCCTAAGTCATGACCTCTCGCCCACAGGTGCCAGGGTGGGTCTGGAGAGTGGGTGCCCTGCCACAAGGCACCCGGAGGGACCTGCCGGTGCCCAATCCAGGGCCTTGTGGAAGGCCAGAGCTATCAGTTCCGGGTGAGAGCCATCAACCGAGCAGGAAGCAGCCTCCCCTCCAAGGCCTCCAAGCTGGTTGTCATGGGAGAACCTGCGGAAGCCCGGAGGAAGACAGGTGGGCGGCCAAGGGAGGCCCTGCGGGGACATTCCCGAGCTTCCCTTGGGGCATGGGCAGGGGCTGCATGCAGGAGATCATGGCTCCCCCATTGAGATGCAGAGACGCCTAGTCTGATGGGAAAGACAGGCCTGTCCTGAGGAGCCTGCCTGAGGAGGCACGTGCCATTCTGTCCTAGGCTGGTGGAGAAGACACTGATCTGAAGGGACCACAAAACCTGCTTGGGGTAGCCTTCCTGTGCAGGGGAGAAACAACCGTGCGGTGGGGGTCCCCAGCCTGACAGTGGGGTGCAACCCTCTCACGCCCTTAGAACTTACCCAGACTTCAGGTTTCCTCTGAGACCCACTGAGACCGCCCCCCCCCCATGGGCTCCAGATAACCCACTCCCTCCCTGGCCCCATTTGTCCCAAGAGTACGCAACAGCATCCACTGGACCACTGAGGAACAGGCCAAGGCCACACAGGCTGTGGACATACTGAGAGCCGCACTACAAGGGGCCACAGGGCCAGGACTGGGAACCGTGGCCGGTTCAGAACCCCAGTAGGGCGAGTCCTGCCTTGACCCCTGCTCTTGACCCGGGTCCCCTTTCCTGCTCACCCCCCGAACTCTGACTCCCCTTCCCCATGTGCTTCTCTCTGGCCCTAGAGATCCCCTTCGATCTGGGAAACAAGATCACAGTCAGCAGAGATGATTTTGAAGGTGTGTGTGAAATCTTCGGAACATTTCCCCTCGAGATTCCAGCATCTCTTGTGGTTCTGGAAACCCCAGCCCAAGCCGGCAAAGACGCAGATGCTGTCCATGTGCAGGGTGGGCAGGGCCTACCTGGAGGGGGTCAGGGTACCCAGGGCGGCTGTGGCTCATCTTCCTGAACCCCCTGTGGAGGAGGTAGCGTGCTGGGGGAAGTCCTGGGCAGGGTGGAGGGGTGACCTAGACTCTGGTCCCCGTTCTGCCCTGCCTTGCTGGGTGACCTGGAGCTCATCCCTGGCCCTCGCCGGGCCCCAGTCTCCCCCTCATGCAATGAGGGGCTGAGATGAAGTCTCAGAGACCCACCCATCTTGGCCTCGCAACAACTCTTGATTCCAGACTCGGTCACCATCCCTTCGGCCCCAACCAATGTCCACGCCATGGAGATCCGAGAGAACTACGTGGTGCTGGGCTGGGAGGAGCCCAGCCCCCGGGGCAAAGCCCCGCTAACATACACCCTGGAAAAGGTATGGAGACACCAACGGCCCTCCCAGATAGTCTGAGAAACAGGCATGCTGGGGCACTTGGGTTTGGGGAGGGATGCGAAGAGCTGAGAGAACCCAGGCCAGGTCCCCTGCGGGGGGTGCAGGGGTGGCAGTGGGGCTTCAGAGAATAAAAGAGAACTCCCGCCTGGAAGGACCTAAGTGTCTCCCTGCTACAGGGCTTGGGGTCACCTCCAGCCAGGTATGAACAGGGACTAACTCAGTGGCAGTCAGCAACTGAGAGCCTAATGGTTAAACCTCAGGGTCAGCCTGTTTGGGTTCAAATCCTGTCCCTGCTGCTTATCAGCTGTGCATCTTGGGCAAGTTAGCTAGCTTCTCTGTGCCCATCTTCTCTCCTCTCACCGAGGCAATCATAATACACATCTTGTAAAGTTGCTGTAAGGGGTAATTTCATTGAAGCACGCAAACCCTTAGCACGGGGCCTGGCACACAGCAGGTATTCCTTGACTTATACATTGAAGGCCACTGACAGTCAGGTGGGCTTGGGAGAGAGTGGACAGGGAGGACAGAACCAGTGCATCCCCCCCAACCCCCCCGGTGTGTCTAGGTCCTAACTCCCACACTCAGACTCTGCAGAAATAGTCTCTGGGAGCCCGGGTGGCTTCTGTTGCCTTCGGCCCTTCACCCTCTCATTCCCAGAGTGTCAGAAATGACTGCTGCCATTTGCATCCCTGGCACTATGGAGAGTGGACAGTTTGGGGGCACCCCTGCCTGCACTCTACCAGACTTTAGAGCCATGACCACTTTAGAACCCACTTTCCTCATCAGTTGGTGAAACAGGCAAACCTGGGCCTCACAGAGCTGACCGTTGAGTGGTCCATTCGCTAGTGGTTGGTGCTACGGAGAAGGGTCACCGAGAAGGACCAGGGCCTTGCAGTGTCAGAGAGGAGCTGTGTTCGTCTGGGCAGACTAGAGAAACAAATCCATGGACACACATGTGTATATAAGAAAGAGGTTTATGTACAAGAGCAATTGAACATGGAGAAAACAGCCCAGCCCAGTCCAGATCAAGTCCATCAGTCTGATATTAGCCCATATGTCCGATATCAATCTATAAAGTCCTCTTCAGACTCATGAAACACATGCAATGACGCCGGATGCGGGATGATCACAGGCCAGTGAGTAGAAAGTCTCTGGATCTAGTGTCATTGGAAACATCTCAGCGATGGCAGGGGTCTCTCTGTGGCTTCTCTGGCTTCTGAGGTCTGGTTGCATCCATGTGGCTTGTCTTCTGCAATGTCTCCCCGGGAGTAGCAGAGAGAGGGGTGTCTTCCGCCTCCAAGGAGGAAGTACCAGATTTCCCAGAATTCTCAGGAGAAGGCCATGCCCACACAGAAGCTTCATTGGCTACCTCCAAATTGACAGCCTAGACTCCACCCCTACCCTCTTAGTCCTTAAATTGACACCAGATTAGGGGACGGCCACAGGAGCCGCTTACATTTTCCCTGGGGTGGCCCAGAAATGTCTCCTTGAGAAAGTGAGTTTTAAGGACAGACTTGAGGAAGTAAAGCCATGAAGAACCAGTTGAGAGATTTGGGAGGGAAGGACGTTCCAGGCAGAGGGACCCGCACATTCAAAGGCAGAGGTGGGTGTGGCCCTGGCACCGCCGGGGAAGAGCTAGGAGGCGCTGAGAGGTGGCATGGGCAAAGCAGGAGGTGAAACTCGGTTAGAGAGGAAGCAGGTCAGGTCACGGAGAAGCTTGTTGGCCTGAGAGAGGTGGGCAGCTTGGGGCGGCTCTGGGCAGAGGAAGGACATGACCTGGCTTGTGTTTGGAAAGGACCCTGTGACTGCCATTTTCAGAAGAGACTGTAGGTGGTAAAAGTAAAAACCAGTCAAGGGGCCATTACAATCGTTGAAGCGGACGGTGGGGGTGGCTCGAATCAAGGTTGTGGGAGAGCACAGGAAGGCATGGCTGGATTCTGCACCAAGTTTGAAGGGAATGCCAACTGGATTGTCGCAGGACCGCAGGCGGAGTGTGAGGGAAAGAGAGATGTCAAGCAAGGCTCCGTGTCGTGAGCCGAGCAAGAAAGATGGGTGCCATTAGCTCCAGGTGGGTGGCACGTCCCAGAGGTGAGTGTTGGACCACTGAACGTAAGGTGCTCACCGGACACCAGGTGGAGTTAGAGAGGAGCAAGGAGATCTATCGCTCCCCTGAGCTGGAGATAGAAGTTACTAGAACATGTATGCAGAGTGCCCAGCACAAAGTCCAGTCCATGCAGCTGAATGGCCAACCGAGCTTCTCCTCCCCATTGGCACAGTCCGTCATAGGGAGCGGCACCTGGGAGGCCATCCGCTCGGAGACCCCTGTGAAGTCCCCACAGTTCGCCCTCTTGGATCTGGAGAAAGGAAAGTCCTATGTCTTCCGGGTGCGAGCCATGAACCAATACGGCATGAGCGACCCTTCGGAGCCCAGCGAGCCCATCACCTTGGGGCGTCAACCAGGTACCTGTGTGGGTGGGGCGTGGGGGATGGGGCAGGCCAGGCCAGGCTGCCAGCACCCACAGCTCAGGACCCCATGTCTGCAGAGATGCAGCCACACCCCTTTCCTTGCCTCTGACCCTTCTGTCTGTGCTAAAGAAAAAGACTATGTTGCCGGGTTTTTAAAGCTGAGGACACCAGAGAGTCCATTTCTGAGGGCAGGGGGCTTGTGGTAGTACAGGCGTTTCTTCCAGATCAACTGTCCATAGGCTAGGAGGCCAAGTGGGTCCAGCGCAAGGGCCGACCGTGAGAGGTGGCCCCTCAGTCTTAAAGGTCTCTTACCAGCCCTCCAGACCCTGCCTCCTGTCACCAGGCCTTCTGAAGGTGCATGCCTTATGAGCAGGCCCCCTGGCCCCTCCCTGGTTTTGGCGGAGCCCTGGCGTGGGCAAGTCATTCCCAGGCTACCGGAGGGGTGAGCAAATGGCGAGGAGGCAATATCTGCCCTCCGAGGGCTTCACACGGAGGAGGAGACTCTGACTCCAACTCCTCCTCTAGTCTACTGCCACGAGGAGGAGGAGGAGGTCGGGCACGCCTCCCCGCTCCATCCTTCTGACACCCCCCCCTCCTCCCACAGCACCCTGCTTCTCTGCTGGGTGTGGTCATCCATTGCATTGGCCCTACACAACTCACAGGAAGGGATTTGATTAGAGGAGTTACCAGGCTACTAAGCAATAAGGATGCACTCACTGGTCCCCAGCAGCACCTCTTCTCGGCCAGCAGCCAAGTGTCCGCCTCTCTAGTCCTGAAGCCTCTTAGCCAGACTGGTCCCTTGGTCTCTGCCTCCGTGGGCCAAGAAGCCAGCCCGAGTGTCTGCCCCAGTCTCAGTCTCAGCCTGCTCCTCCACTCTGTCTCAGGGCCTGCTTGCCACCACCTCTGGTGTCCATGTGGCATGGCCTCTGCCTCTGCCCCTTCACTGGGGAGGGGTCTCCAACATTCTCCCCTGGGGCCTCTTCTTCCACGCTGGTCCCAGGATTTCTCTCCACTTCCAGGATGGTTCTTGTACACAGAGGAGTGGCTTTAATGGAGGTGTGCTTCATGTGGTGACTTGATTTCACACCCTCTAGTAAGGGGGAGGCTCAGCATGTATTCCTCCTTACTCCTGTTCATTAGCTTACTCCCTTCAAAATGGCTTGGTAACCACAGGCATAGAGGTAGCATTTAGAGTCCACGCCATAAGGGACAATGGCTAGAAGGGCTGTATTAATTGATGACATCTCGGGTGGGGCTCTCATCTGCCCAGTGCACTCTTCAGGGATGGTCCTGGTGAGTGCCCCTCCTGCTGCTCCTTCCCCGAGTCTCCCACCCTGGGCCCTCCTTCCTAGGGCCCACCCTCTCCTCAGGCCTTTAGATCCTGGGGCTCTTTCTTCAGTCACCCCAACATAGCCTTTCTAAGATCCCCCACTGCAGGGCTGCCCAACCTAGATAAAGCCTGGTGTGGTGTGGGGCCCATGTGGAGGAGATGGCGAAGCCCCGGAAGAGTGGCTGTGCCTTGTTACTGGGGGGCAGGGGGGATCATCCTCATGGCACGCATGAATAGGTCAGTGGGTGAGTAGCTTCTATTTTCATGCTGGTCCAGGTACCCCCTGGGCTTTGTTCAGGGACCGGCCGGTGAGTGGATTGGGACTGAGGGGGAGGCAGTGCTGGGCCCCAAGCCCGTCTCAGGGCAAGGTTTAGCTGGAGATCTGAGATCACCTTTATTTATTTACTTACTGTCTATATAAATGTGTTGTATAAAATGGGAAGATATTTTAAAAAGAACTATTTTAATAGCAAAAAGGAAGGAGGGAGGATGGGGAAAGAACCCCTGGCCCCTCCGAGCCCACCACCCAGGGCTGGCCACTGTGAGCATTTGGGTGCCTGAGTTTCTGCACTTTTAACCACACCCAGGAGTGCATCCGGTTGAAAGTACAATCTGACTATGTAGGGCCTTGCCTTTTACTTTTAAAACGTAGCCTTCTGTCACCACCATTGCCTCGGGTGGTAAAATCCACCTTGAAAATCGCACCTCCCGATTGGAGACTGCTCAGCTCACAGGCTTTCCTGGGCTAGAATCAGGTTCTCTTGGGGGTCTCCCATCATCCTGCCTGCACCCCCCACCACACTGCCATGAGTCTTGGAGGGTGAAGGAGCAGGCAGGACGTTCCTGTTTCTCAGCACCCACCCTGTCCCTGGCTGAGTGCAGTGCTGGCTCAGAGTAAACATGGTCGATGTTTACTGGGTTCATGCTGGCCGGATGCTGAGGTTGTTTTTTCCTGTTGACTTCCAGAGACCACACAAAAGCCAGGACAGTGGAAGGTGGAACACTGGGATGCAGGAGAGCGAGCAGGGCTGGAGATGATGTCCAGGGAGTCCCCTGCATGGAGATGGAAGCTTGGGAATAAGCAAGGCCCCCCAGAACGAGAGGAGGGAGGGAAGTGGAGCAAGCTGAGGAATAGAAGCTCAGAGGAGTCACTCGTGTGTGGACAGAGGGAGATGAGCAGCCCAAAGGCTGTGTAAGGAGCTTAAGACGTAAAAGGAAAGCCCAGCAGGTTATCAGGGTCACTGGGGGCAGGGGCAGGGCATGAATTGAACCCATGACACTGCTGTGGGCTGACACCAGAATGACCCAGTGTCTGCGGCCGAGGCGTCAGCAGGCTGGTCATGCGCTGCAGAGGGAGGGATGGCCCAGGCACTTGGTGTCACAGTCACCAAGTATGGTAGCTGGCCTTATCCTTTCCCTCCCACATCACCTATCAGTCAGGAGGGAGGGGCCACGCAGCACCTGCAATTGGGCAGACAGGAGAGTCTCCACTTTGTCCAATGGGAAGGAGCTGTGGGAACGGTGGGGCGGGGCCTGGAGGGGCATGCCTTACCACAGTGCTCAGGACTGGGGCCAGATCATTGTCTCCACTAGGGGGTGGTTTGTTAGCAGACCAACCAATCTGTCTCTCTATCTATCCATCTATCTGTCCATCCAACCATACACAGTCCATCCATTCAGCCATCTGACCATTCATCAAGTCATCTGTATTTCTGTCCACCTATCCATCCAACTACCCATCTGTCCCTTTGGTCCTCTGTCCAAACATCCATCTGTCCATCTACCCATCCATTCATCCACCCATCCATCTATCCATTTGCCCATCCGTCCATCTATGTGTCCCTCTGTCTACCCATTTGCCTATCCATCCCTCTGTCCTTCTGTTCATGCATCTATCTGTCCATCTATCATCTATTCTCTATTCATCTAGCCTCTGCCCATTCATCCAACCCGTTATACATCCGTCCATTTAACAAATCACAGCAGTTCCTATATCAAGGAGCTTAGTCTCAGGGAGCCATGAGAAACGGAAATAACATTTTCTAGAGATTGAAGGAAAGAGTTATGTTGTTGGGCTGCTAGCCCCAAGGTCAGCAGTTTGAACTCACCAAACACTGTGAGGCTGTCTGCTCCCATCAAGATTTACAGCCTCCGAAACCCAAAGGGGCAGTTCTACTCGGAGTCAGCTCAATGACAGCGAGTTGTAAGCTTTTGTTCAGTTTGGTTGTATTAGAAATTGAAGATAAGGATTTAGGAAGGCTGTCAGATTTGGTGGCTTCTGCTGAGAGAACCTCTGGTAGGGATGAATACAGAGACTGAGCTCTGAGTGAGGAAGCAGAGTTTTCCTGCGTAGAAATAAAAGGGGGTGAAGCGTGGAGGCACCAGAGTCTGGGGCACATCTCTGCCCCAGGGCATGTCTGGCAGCCAACTTCCGGCTTGGGTCGCCCCGGCCTCTCTCCCCTGCTTCCCCTCCCGGAGCCTGTCACGCTTAGCTCAGCATCCTCACTCAGCCTACCTCTGTGTGTTCCAGTTACTCTGCCTCCTCCCACTCGAGTTCAAGCTTTCCGAGACACGAAGACCTCCATCTCCCTGACCTGGGATCCCGTGGAAGGTGGCCCAGAGCTCCTGGGCTACTACGTCTACTCCAGGAAGGTGGGGTCTTCTGAGTGGCAAACGGTCAACAACAAGCCCATCCAGGACCACCAGTAAGTGGGGCCCACCCCCTCCTAAACCACGACCTCCTTGGCTCTCTCCGTATGCACTCAGCTCTTTTCATAGGTGAAGTCATTCACTCCCCATGGCAACCCTGTGGAGCCCCTGGGTGACGCACACAGTTAAGTGCTCAACAAGTTGAACCCACCCAGAGGTGCCTCAGAAGAAAGGCCTGGTGATCTGCTTCCACAAGGAATCCCCTCGGCAGCCACAGGTTGGGTGTTCGGTTAGGGTTCTCTTTTCAAGGTCAGAGCTCAAAGCCCTGAAGGTGTCTCGCAAGGCACCAAGCCAGTCAGTGGCCACCTTACCCAGCCTGTTGGCATTGTCATGGTGAGCGCCAAAATTGGGCAGACACACACACACACACAATTGTCATCCGGTCAGTCCCCACTGGGCGGCCCCGGGTGTTGCCGAGCGGCTCCATATGGTGTGTTCTTGGCTGTAAGTCCTTCCGTGGCACTGCAGGCTCCATCCAAGCCACCAACCTTCTGGTCAATGACCGAGCACACTTCCGTTCCTCCTTGAAAACCTTCAGGAGGGACTCCCCCAGGTTGACATTTCAGGCACTTGTAAGAAAGGTTTTCAATTCTTTTAGACTGAAAACCAGCCCAGAACCCTCCCCGTCTCCAAGCACGCTGGTGGCCACATGTCCGTCCCACAGGTTGCTCTGGAGCGTGCCAGAATGTCCCTGTGGGTGTGGGGCAACCCTTAAGGACTGCCTCCATCCGTCCCAGGTTCACGGTTCCCGGCCTGGTCACGGGGAAGGACTACGAGTTTTGTGTCAGTTCAGTCAGCGAGGCCGGGGTAGGTGAGAAGTCAGCAGCCACCGAGCCCACCAGGGTCAAGCAGGCTCTGGGTAAGTCCAAGGGCAAGCCTCTGGGCCTTCCCTGTGGCAGAGGCCACACCCTGGGAGCTCCTCCCAGAGGCCCCCGGGGCCAACATCCAAGAGGAGCATGAGGGCTGACTTCCCTTTCCACTGGGGAGGGCAGCAGTGACCCGAGGCTATGGACGATGCCTGGCCAGCTCTGGGGTGAAGAGCCCGGGTGTCCCCCGGGGGCAGTCAGGGTTAACAGCAGACCCCACTGGCTGAGCAAGGAGCCCCCCCGCCCCCAAGCAATCTGCAGCCTCCCGGAGGGAGCAGCCACCCTCACTTCTTGACCTCCCCATAGCTCCCCCCTCTGCCCCCTACGATTTCACCCTGCTGAACTGCGGGCGGAACGACATGGTCATTGGGTGGAAAGCCCCCAAGCGTGGCGGAGGTGGCAAGATCCTGGGCTACTACCTGGACCAGCACGACTCGGACGAGCTGGATTGGCATCCCGTCAACCAGCAGCCCGTGCCAGCCCGGGTCTGCAAGGTGAGGTGGAGTGGGCCATCACCCTGACTTCAGGGCTGCTGCAGGGGGAAACCCTGGGAGGCCCCGAGGCTGGAGGAGGGGGCTCATTTTCAAGCACAGGCACACAGACCCCACCTTCCTGCCCTGCACTCTGGCCCGCACCTCCTCCCCTCCCCTACCCAGCTGTCACCTCCAAGGGTGTGCTTCTGCCCTTCCAGATCAGCCACCTCCAAGAGGGCCACTTCTATGCGTTCCGGGCCCGCGCAGTCAACTGGGCAGGGGTCGGCGAGCTGTCAGCCCCCAGCAGCCTGTTTGAGTGCAAAGAGTGGACGATGCCCCAACCAGGTGAGAGGCCTAGAGGCCCTGGTGTCCAGCGCCTGCCCTTGCTCCCGCCTAGCAAGTCTAGCCAAGGGCTTGCACGATGCAAAGCCCTCCATGTACTGAAGCCGGCTCGGCCGTTCCCTGTCCCAGGCCCCGGGCCCCCGTCAATGGACCACAACCGGGCACGGACTGAGGCGTCACCCTGCTTCAGAGGGCCCCGACCTTGGCCCCCAACTAACTCTCCACACAAACTAGCCCCCCCATGACACACCCTCTGAGCTGTGGTTCTGGCCACGGAGAGACCTTGAACTCCAAAGTCTAAGGTGACCACCTCCCAGTTGACCCCAGGACTTTCCCAACTTATTACTGAAAGCCCCACCTCCCAGAAATCCCCCCCAGTTCTAGGCAAACAGGCATGGTCGGTCTTCTTCATGCCACCCCTCTAACCCCATTCGCTTACTCACAATGGGACCCTCACCTGCACCCAGGTGAGCCCTCACCACAGAACCCACCACCTGCTGCATGCACCTGCCTCCAGCACACCAAGCTGCTCTGCTCCCTCCCATTTTCTGGACAAAACCTTTTCCTCAACGGCGGCTCATTACAGTGTGGGGAGCTCGAGCAGCACCCATCAGCATAACACTTGCTCCATGCTCTTAGAGGGGTACTGACCACGTGTCAGACCAAACGGACAAAGGGCCTATCGCCATGGAGCGAAGCCATAGCTTCCCTAGAGGACAGAGGAGCACTGTCCCAAAGAGTGACCAAGGCTGTCGATCATCATGGAAGTAGACTGCCACATCATTCTCCCTTGGAGCAGCTAGTGGGATCGAACCACTAACCTTTCAGTGAGCAACCAAATATGTAACCGTTACAACAAAAGACCCCAGTATTTCAGACAGTCCCTAAATGATCTCATTCAGGTTCACAATAGCATTATATTATAAGAACTATTATTCTACCCATTTTTCAGACAAGGAGGCAAGCATACAGAGATAAATCATTTGCTGGTGCAGCTGGGGCCTGACCCTTGACCTTCTGACTCCAGAGATCACACCTCACCCCCCACATTAAATACAGAAATGACAAGGACATCAGGAGAATAGCTGCCTGGGATGGGGCTGGGGAGGATCAGAAACGTTCTGGAAGAAGGTGATACTGAGTGCATTTGGAGAGTTAACCCTGCCCTAGGGCCAGAGCCAAGCTTTGTCATGAAGCCAAGACCAGCCAGGTCCCCACTATGCCCAGAGCAGGTGCCCGAGGCCTGGCTGTGACTGACAGATTGACAGTCTCATCGACTGACCATCCAGCTCAGTGCCCAGTTGCCTGCCTGCCTGACTCCCTCTCTGCTCCACCTCCCACAGGGCCCCCCTACGGCGTGCGGGCATCCGAGGTGCAGGCCTCCTCCCTAATGTTGCAGTGGGAGCCCCCACTGTACACGGGTGCTGGACCGGTCACAGGCTTCTGCATCAGCTACCAGGAAGAAGGCTCTGAGCAGTGGAAGCCAGTCACCCCAGACCCCATCTCTGGCACCCACCTAAGGGTGAGTCCCTGCTCCTTTGTCCCCTGACTGGTCCAAAATATTCCCTGCCAGTGGGCATAGCAGAACCACAGACATCAGAATAGAATGACCCTCAGAGGTCACTGCCTTGACTAATGGCAGCAGAGGCCCAGAGAGGCTAAATTATTTACCCCAGTCACACAGCAAGCTGGTAGCCAGTGGGGCCCAAGCCTCCTGGCTCTGACGGGGGATGGTCTTATGTGTCCCATGCTGGTCTGACTCCTCCCTAGAAATTCATTTGATTATCAGACGCTAACATGTAGTACAAAGAATAAGGTAGCTCAAGGAGGGAGTTAATAAGGACTAGCAATGGTCGACAATGTACAGAATGAGGTAAATCCGTATGTGTGCATGGGCATGGAACTATAGCCATTGTTTGCGGCGAAGAAAGAAAGAGCAGGATGTTTACGTTAGAATAACATATCATCCGTACATGTGTGTTGGATGTTCATATATGTATATGCATAAATCTACTAAACAAAACCAAACTCTGCCATCGAACTGATGCCAACTCATTGTGCCCCTGTAGGACAGGGTAGAACTGCCTTTTTGGGTCTCCGGGACTGGAACTCTTTCAGAGTAGGAAGCGCTGTCTTCCTTCTGCATATATACTCTTGCTACTAGGCCGTCTCAAAAAAGTTCATGGGGAAAATGGACTGAAAGGAGAATGGAGTTTTTCCATGAACTTCATGAGGCCCCTCTTCCAGTTGCCATCCATTTGGGCCTGACTCATGCGCCCCCATGTGTGTCGGAGTAGAAGTAGAAGCGTGCTCCATGGGGCTTCCAGTGGCTGAGTTTTGGAAGTAGGTCGATCACCAGGCCTTTCTTCGGAGGCACCTGTGGGTTGACTTGAACCTCTACCCTTTCTTTCGTAGCCTCGTCTGTTTGTTAACAGTTTGCGTGCATTGTGTACATACATAGACTGGTTTTTTTTGCTTGTTTAACTATGAAGCAAGCTGTAAGCCCTTTGGATAAATAAGAACCCTAACAGAATCCTTGGTTTTATTCATCTGTGGCAGTGGTGATTTAACACACACACACACACACACACACACACACACACACACACACACGGGGAAAGGGGAGCGAAAACCATCTTCATCAGGTGGAACAAAGGCAACTCACAAAGATTGATCCACAAACAAGGCCGTCCACCAGAGCACCCTTAGTAGACACGAATGACCAACGTAAACCACGGAGCGGTTCTAACTTTTGCGCAGAGGCCGCTCCTACCACCTCAGCATCCATCTCTGAAGCCAGTGGGCCTCCTCTGTGCCAGTCACGTCTGCAAGGGCAGCTCTAGGAGGCTGGTTAGGAAGTTCCTTGGGGTGCCTGTCGCCAGCAGGCAGGGAGGACACAGTTCTGCAGACCTCACCTGAGCATGCCCCGAGTTAGCCCAGAGAAAAGAAGACCAAGGCAGAAACCCAGAACTCCAGTGCCGAAAGACGGGGAGAGGCCACCCATGCATATCCCAAGCCATGCCACAGCGGGATCCCATGTAAATCAACAGGGGGCGGGGGGAGGAAGGGCCCTCAGTCAGCTTGGAGCTCTGACCTTCTGCAGATCTTCACCCACCCCCCCAACTCCCCACAGGTCTGCAAGGATTTCACAGGCACCCCCCAGACTACAAACAGTGCCTCGTCCTAAGTTTTTCTTTAAGTCAATGTGTTCGTCCGTCAGGACAGTTGGCTTTGGTTTCTGTCTAATGGCAGTTAGTCAGTGCATAGTGTATGATGTACTTTTCTATGCATAAAAATTAAAGACCCACTTCCAGCACACTAAAATGTCTTGAACGCAATACTACAGTGATAATAATGTTTTGACACGCATCACAAATTAGCACTGGTTGGTTATTATAAACCATTGTGGTCCTTCAATGGTTTGTATAAAGGGCTTTACAGGGCTGGTGGGTTGGTAACTATGGGTTGCACATAAGTCAGACTCTCCGGGGACTGTGTGTACTAACAGACAGTATAAACGTATCACTTTTCTGCATGCTTTGTGTGCTTACAAAGTGCAGCTTGCTCTTTCTGATCCTCTCTGGGGATGGGACTGCAGGAGTGTAGGGGTCCAGTCCCCACAACCGAATGGGTCCAAGGGGTGCTTGTATGATTGAAGAGCAAGTTAAAGGGACAGCACAGTTTCTAACTTTGAGGTGAGACATGTACCTGCTCCCCTCTTCCATGGCAACCAGAACCAGGATAAGGCAGTAATGTATTATTTAACAAGCTTATATAATCTCAGGCATGCAGGCCCTGTTAAGCACATGCATAACAGGAAGGGGTTGTATGGGAGACATACAAGTCCCAGGATGGAGGCAGCCTAGGGGTAGATGCGCAATAAGAAAGGGAGTTGCTCGAGGCGTACATGTAACCGGAAGGTACATATGTAACAAGATGGGCGGGTTCTGGAGTTAAGATGGCGGCTCAACTTCGTTCTTCTCTGAGCTGGCTCGACCTTGAGTGTCCTTGAGCTCTTCTCCAGGAGAACAATCAATGATCCTTATCAGAAGAGTGGGCGGTACTTAGGATTAGATGGTCTGACTGGCAGATACCCTTCAAGCAGATAGTAAGCAACCATGTGTTTGCGAGTAGCACCTTAAAATTGGCAGTATTTCGGGGAACGTCGTAGGAATAACTTTTACTTAGGAGAATGTGAGTGGGATCTATCTCCAACCCAGAAGGTCTCCCTCCACAGGAGGCGTGGCCTCCCAGACTCCTTAACGTATGAACATAGAGAATTTGTCCAAATACACTCTCTTACTGGTTCTCAGTTTCCCACACAGGGGGATGTTAATCCTTCCATTTCAATCTGATTCTATGCTTTAAATCGTTCCCCCAAACCATGTATTTCTTGTACACAATTTGGCGTGTTTTCATTTGGAATAAAATAAAAGACAGAATAGGGAGGAGCCGCCTTCGCCAGCAAAGGACACTGAGATTCTCCATCTTCTGGTTCCACAGGGCTTGAAGCCCCACAATAGAGTCAGCCAGTGCTGGACAGCTGCCTAAGAGAGCCACGGCCCGTAGATGGTCCCTCCACCTCCCCACACAGGCTCAGGGTTGGCCCAGGACAGGGCAGTGCAGATGTCAGGGTCTTGGCACCAGTCTCTGCACATGGCTAGTGAGTTGGCTGTCATTCACTCATTCATTCAGTCATAAAATGCTTCTTGACACCTACTAGGTGCCAGGTCTGGAGCCAGGTCCTAGACATAAAAAGCTAATTAAGTCATGATTGTTGGCCTCAGAAATTCATGACCTGGTGAAAGAGAGAGATGGGTAAAGGCAATGACAACACTATGTGATAAATGCTACCCCTGAAGAGAACTCAAGGAATACTGCGAATTCAGAGGAGGAAAGTCAGAGAAGCTCCCGGAAGCCTTCCTGTTTGCCCAAGATGAGTGGTGAAGGGTGAATTGGAGTTAGCCAAATGAAGAGTGGAGGGCATAGCCAACAGAGAGCTCAATAAGGGCAAAGAGAAAGATGTGAGATGGCATGATGGACTTAGAGACCTTAAAGGAGACATTAAAGGAGAATGACGGCAGAGGCTAAGCCCAGACTGGAAAGCCTTTAGGTACCAAGGAAGGGCCATGAAAGGTTTAGGCATAATGAGATTGGCATCTGGGAGCGCTTGGCAGAGGGCAAGAGAGACTGCGGAGGAAGGGTCTAGAGACGGAGGAGATGCCCTTTCGGAAACTGTTGGAGTAATGCAGGGTGAGACAAGGTCAAAGTCTCCATCCAGGGCATGATGGGACGTGGGTGAAAGATGCCATGTCTCAGAAGCATTAAGGAAATAGGATGAGCAGAATGTGGTGGTTAAAGGAGGAGGGCTCCACACGTGGTTCCCAGGCTCCTCTCTTATTCTTGTTGTTAGGGGACCATCGGGTTGGTTATGACCCATAGCGACCCCGTGCACAAGAGAAGAAAATACTGCGTGGTCCTTCACCATTGGTCCTGAGAATTGTTCCTATGCCTGAGCCCACTGCTGCAGCCCCAGTATCAATCCATCTCATTTGGCCTTCCTCTTTTTCCGCTACCCCTCCACTTCACCAAGCAGGATGTCCTCCTCCATGGACTGCTCTCTCCTGACAGTATGTCCAGAACATGTAAGACTGAGTCTTGCCACCCTTGCCTCTAAGGCGCACTCTGGCCTGACTTCTTCCAACACAGATCAGTTCGTCCTTTCAGCAGTCCATGGGACTTGCAATATTCTTCTCCAGCACCACCATCCAAACGCACGGATTCCTCTGCAGTCTTTCTGATTCAACGTCCAACTTTCACACGCATAGGAGTTGATGGAAAATACCGTGGTTTGGGTCAGGCACAGCTGAGTCCTCAACGTAACATCCTTGCTTTTCAATACTCTAAAAACGTCTTGTGCAGCACACTTCCCTAATGCAACTCGCCTTTTGATCTCTCGACTGCTGCTTCCATGAGCATTGATTATAGTTGCAAGCAAGATAAAAATCCTCGACAACTTCAGCTTTCCTCCATTTATCCTGATGTCACCTATCAACGCAGTTGCAGGAGTTTTGTCTTCTTTACATTGAGTTGTAATCCATACTGAAGGCTGCTGCAATCCAGCAAACACTTCAAGCCCTCCTCACGTTCAGCAAGCAAGGTGTGTCATCTGAATTAAGCAGGTTGTTAATAAGCCTGCTCCCAGTCCTGATGCCACATTCTTCATATTAACCAGCTTCTCCGCTGATTTGTATATCATATAGATTGACCAAGTATGGAGAGAGGATGCAACCCTGATTCACACCTTTCCCGATTTTAAACCACGCAGTATTTCCTTGTTCTGTTAGCGCAACTGCCTCTTGATCCATACACGGGTTCCCCATGAGCACAATGAAGTGTTCTGGAATTCTCATTCTTCTCAAGGTTATTCATAGTTCATTATAATCCATACAGTTGAATGCCTTGGCATAGCCAATAAAACGCATGTAAACATCTGTCTGGTATTCTCTGCTTTGAGCCAAG